TGTTGTTGTTGTTGTTGTTGTTGCTGCTGTTGCTGTTGTTGAGCTAGAAGAACTGATGAAGCTTCAGTTTTAACAACAACTGCTGGTTCAGTTTTTGATACATGTGCACCACCGGCAGCATCCGAATTATCATCATCAGTAATAAATTCACGTTTTGGATAAGGTATTGAAACAGAATCAAATACACTAAATAGATCATATGAATAAAATAAAGATAATTTCTCTTATTTGAATATTTACTCATCAGTAGGCCGAGGATCTTCTTTAAAATATAAATCATTCATTGCATCTAAGGCTAAAAAGAAATAAATATTCGTAACAAAAAAAAAAAGCCAAAAATTCTATTACCCGATAATCGTTTAGTTGGATCAACAGTAAGTAAACGTGTGAGTAATTGAAAAGCTCGACTATCCGATCGAATATTATGTTTTTCCATATATTTACTTAAACTACAATTAGCATAACTAAAATATAAAAAACAAAATTTAGATTTTCTTTTTATTAAATAAATATTTCAAATAACTAACTTGCTCTTTTTAAATTCTTTTGATAAACGTATATATTCTGGCATTCTTTTCATATCTTCCCATTCTTTATCTATATAAAATAATTAATCAAAAAAAATAAATTCACTATGATTTTATTTTACCAGCTGGAAAACTCATAACAGAAAAAATTCGATCAAGTTGATCATGATGATAAGGTGTACTTGTTTTTATATCTTCTTGTTTACAATGAAATATTGGTTCATATGTTAATAATTCAGCAAAAATACATCTAATTCAAAGGAAAAAAAATTTTTTTTCTTTTCCTGTGAAGATTTATTATAAAAGAAAAAAAAAATAAAAATTACCCTATTGCCCAAATATCAATTGCTTTTGTATAATGTCGAGCACCGAGTAATAATTCTGGTGCACGATACCAAAATGTAACAACTACGGGATCTAAAATTAAATATAACTTGCCAATGATTGATGTTGATAACCGATGAATAAAATGAAATTTTTTTTATTGTATTAATTAAAAAAAATATGTACGCAATAGAAATGAGACTTATTAGAACTTATGACTATTTGATGGATTTATATAATGAGAAAAATTCTAAATACAATCAGGGATATTTAATCGAAAGAGAAATCCTATTTTTTGGTTGCTGTTTTGCCATAGTTGGATAAAGCTCATTGAGTTACGTCTAAAATTGTCCGAAACAATGTTTTTGTATCGAAACTTAGGAAAATTAGGCTAAAAAAAATCATAAATAGTTCAATAAAACTCAAATACGCCAAGAGCATTGAATCCTACTCGGTTTCATATTTATCCAATACTTTTTGATTATTACGAAAACCAATTTTTTCTATATCATAGCAACATACCATAAATACAGGTTCATCTTCAGACAGCAGAAAAATCTGTATCGAATAGTATACTCAATACTTAAAAAAAGTATTCATCAAATTTCGGTCGTTTTATTCCTTTACTATTTTTTTAACAAATAATCGAATCTATGGGTTCATTACATGTATGTAGATAATATTTTCAAGATTATCGTAAAAGTGATTTGCATAAACTTTTATTTATGTTGATTATCAACATATTGACTATTCATAGAAAATATCGTAAAGATAAATTCTAATAATAAATGTATTTTACAACTAAATAAAACTTTAGATTTACCGAGATCAGCCATTGGTTTAAGTGGTGAATTAAATAAACGAGCAAAACCCATATCAGCAATTTTTACTCGACCACGTTCAATTCCATCTCCCATAACTAAAATATTTGCAGGTTTAAGATCTCGATGTAAAATCCAATTTGAATGTAGATAATGTATTCCAGCAAGTATTTGATAAAGTAAGGATTTCACCATTCCACGTGCACATGAAACAGTTTTTTTATTTTGTTTAGCTGAACGATGAAATTTAATAATATGCTTTAAGGAAAAA